TTGGCGTTGAAATCATTAATAATGAATTTGTAATAATTTTTTGGAAATTCCGACCACTTCATCACTATGGCATAATATCGGCACATGTTCTTGGATCACATGGACGTCGTATCTCTTTTAAGCTCCTAATGCAAGTCTTGAACACCACTCTGTGGTACTGTGCACTTGTGTAATACTGTTCTATAATCTTCAGTCGACAATGAAGCGTACTCTTCCGTACCGTACCGTACTCCTTGTTCGACCATCTTCCGAACCTCTGCTAAGCTCTGACAGAGTTGAACTCCTGTTTTTGAGTAAACTCACTAAGTCCAACAATGTTCCGCATGATTTGACGCAGTTGTTCCTCCAATTATTGAAACGGTGATTGGATTAGAAGCGCTGCGGTTGCCAGCGTTAGTAAACCGTCCATCCATCTGATCCATCGCTTGGGTATTCACTACACCCTCGGCTTCATGTCTGACCAGCAGCTGCTTCTGCCAGAAGTAGTTTTAGCCTCCGGGAAATGAAGTGCATGGTTTCAGTTGTGATTTAATCTTGGAGGATTTGACCAAAACACATTAGGCTGGTGAGTTCCAATTTGCAGAGTATATTATGAAGGCTTCAAGCAATTTCGAACTCGTTAGAATCCAGAGGCTTGGCCGTGCGTCATCCTAAAAGCTAAAAGCTTGTTGTCATGTTGACACCACTTTCGATGTATTATCATAGTCAGTCGGATAACTGAAGAGCCTAACGGAAACAAAGATCTAGCTTTCTAAGGTGCCAAAGAAATTGGATGGTAGTTTTCACTGACACAATTCGATAGTTTACGGTAGTACAGTAACTCGTAATGATGCGAACATAAATGGATAAAATGCTTCTTCTCTGGGTAGTTCTATGCGTTGGAAAAAGTTGAGACTGCTTCGAGTGCTCGAGATGATTTTTGCACAGATTTCGAGTAAGATTATGGACAATTAGGCGAAAATAGCACGGATCATGCGGCGTTTGGAAGCTGCGAAGTTTCGAAAATACCATTTAAACCGCTATCTGGCTTCTTACGAACTTGCATGTCAAACGAATGATCAGTTGTTCGTGTCAAACGACGTAGAAGACTGGAATCAGACGGGGAAGACACTAATTGCGGTCGACAATAACCGGTACCAATTTTCTGTTCGCCTGAC